AGCCTTTGGGACATTCTTGCTCATGGGTTTGCTCAAAGGTTCATAACACCATTCAGAAATATGCAACTCTAACGTAGGTGTAGAGAGAGGGTACTGAAGAGTGAGAACGAGAAAACAGTAAAAAGATGCAGTTGGGAAGTAGTATTGAGTGGAGAGTAGAGACACTGGAGTCTTTCTCAAAGAAACAACACGCAGCCTGTGAACAAAGTGAAATAGTATCTCTTTAGGGGTTTTAGCATTTAGAAACTCAACACACCTATATGTCTTGATGGAACTGGGTAGCTCATCACCACAAACCCTCATGGGGAGCCAGTGCTTGGATGGAAGAGCCTAGTTATCCTGCCAGTGCCATCTCAGGAGAAAAACGGAAATTTCCTGAGAGAGAGGAGGAAGCTGTTTGGGCATTCCTGTGGTCAGCTCAAGAAGAACTTTCAGGTTTTCTTTTTCCAGGCTGTTTATATAGTGCAGTGGAGTGAGAGGCCACACGTGTGACTGAGGAAGAGACCCAGAAGTCACTTTTAGATTCATGTTCATGCAGTGGACAATAAGGGAGGTATCTCATACACTGAAAGTTTCTAGCCTTGTGTGTAAGAGCCCTTGCTGCTTGGCTTTGCACCTGCTTTCACAGCCCTGTGTCCTGTCCCTATGCTCAAGTCTTCAGGATTACAGCTCAGCACCATTTTCCTCGCTAATTGGATACCTTCCCATCTTCTTTAGGTGGTTAGTGTCAGCGAGAATGGGGCTGCTCTACATGAGGGAATGAGCCAGGAGCGGAGGGAAGATGGTACCAATGGAATGTAGTCCCACAGGGCCTCAACACAGCAGCAGAGCAGGATGCAGGTGCCAAGGTCCATTGACAGCCCCAAATAAGGTGAGAGGATCAGTCAGGAGCAGAGGATATTGGGCTGGACACAGAACTGGAGATGAGGCTGCAACAGAGGTTGCTACCTGGAAAGTGCTGATTCTCCCCGCTCTATGAAAATGTGAGATGTTTTCTCACACTAATGAGGCAATCAAGTCCCTGTTTCTGACCTTCTACATTCAAGCAAGGTTCCCAGCATCACTCGGAAAAGCAAAGACAAGATATATCAGACAGCTTTTTCAGTTGCTTATGTAGATCGGGACCAGTCTGAACTCAAATTTAACAGAGTCTGTGATGGCTCTGAGCTAACCTGGTGTTTTGGCAGTAGACAGTTTTGATGGCAAAGCTCCTCATCAGAAGATGCTCTTGAGTTGTTTACTCACTATGGCTAGGACTGTCAGCGGAGGATAATTCTGTTACAGAAATAAATCCAGGTTTACCAAAAGACTTGTAATCTGATGTCTGTCATCCAAGACCTGGCCTAAAGCTGACCTCCTTGGTTGCCTTCTCAGGTAGTCCTTAGCTGGTTATTTCTCACAACTGGATCAAACAGCTGGAATACATTAAATATAGGCTTGAGACAAAATCCCAGTCTGACAATAAATTATAAAAGCCTCTTTTCAAATGTTGGGAGTTGGCTGTGTATCTTCTATCCTGGCCAAGTTTATTGCGCTAGGGACTTCTGACACTGTTTCCATGAGCTATACTGCACAGCTAAATCCCCTGGGATGAGACACTTACCTTACAAGCAATAGCATGCTTCCTCAGAACTCAGCTGGGCATTATGCTCATGAATAAAATATTTCCCTTCTCTATTTATGCATTTTATGCACAGAGAAATGAGTGGTGACAGAGACAAAACCATGAGACTGTTCTGTGAAACAAAAAAAGATTTTAGTCAAATGCTTGCTGTCCAAACTGAACTGAAATTATGCGCCCCCATATAGCAAAAAATGTCTGCTGCATGCTGGGCTGTGTGAGCAGTGGGATGTGATGTTGTGGCCATACCAACATCGGACGGGCTGAACAGTTCATGGCAGGCTTCACTGGTTTCTAGTCCTTTGTGGCCTGAGTTGGGGTTAAGCTTCCTGCTGTCACTTGGACTGTCTTTTCTGTCCTTTCTCTTGTGTTTGGTCCCTGGGGCATACAGCCAGCCAGGCAGGGCTGGAAAAGCTCCTTGCTTGGGCACTAGAAAGAAGACTGTACTTCACCCGCTGTTACTTGCTTGCATCCCCAGGGAGAAGCTGAAGCTAGGTGCAGGCTGGGGCCCTCTCACTGCCTTTCTGCTAATGCTTCCACAGTGAAGGATGTGCTACATGGAAAATAAAACCAACAGCTTCATGTCTCCTTGGGAAATGGAGGATTTGCTGTGAAGGCACTAAGCTCTTTTAGCAACCTGAGCACCCCAGTCCCTGGAGCAGGAATTTGCTGGCCCACCTCCTTCGTGCTGAGGATTTTGAAGCCGTGGCCCGAAGCAGATGGGGCTGAGGCCCTCTGCGGCAGTGGGGAGACGGACTGCCAGTGGGTACAGCAGTGGAAGCAGCAGGGTTAGAAATGCAGTTCAGGGTCATCCCTAGCCCAGGCTGCACCATTTCTGCCTGCTGGGTGCTTAAGGAAAGGGCTGATGCAATGATGGGGCCTTTGCTGAGAGTGCCATAGTGCTGATGACATTGCCACCGCGCAGTGGGTGATGCCCAGGGCCACCCCTAGGTCCTGGAACTCCCTAGCTGAGCTAGGTTGAGGGTGAGAGGGAGCTGTGCCGCTGGTTCTTCTGCAGGACAAATTCCTGGATGATGTTGAAGCCTGGGTCTCTCCCAGCTCGTTGCTACAGAAAGCAGAGAACTGGAAGGTGTGGAAGAGAGCGAGAAGCTTTTCTCTGCCTGGCCACGCAAGCCCAGCTGCAGCGTGGCTCCAGGGGTGCCGGGAGATGAAAGGGGCTGCTGCGAGCGCTGCTGTCTGGGTGCTTAGGGAGGAGGCTGCTCTGGGAGAGGGGAGCGCGATCCCAGGGTCTGTGTGGTGCAACGTCTATGGCGCAGGAAGCCTTGGCAGGACCCGAAGGGTCACGTGCCGCCTGCCAGGCCTTGTTGTGCCGCCAGGAGGCAGGCCTTGGTGTGGGCCTTGGAGGGGGAAGCGGAGACCTGCTGAGGGGCTGCGCTGAAATCTGCTGGGAGGAGAACCCACAGGTCCTGCTGCAGGTGTCCTTAGCGCAAGCTGGAGCAGTGCAGCGAGGCTTGAGTTGGTGGAGAAGAGGCCAACTGCAGCCAGGCAGGCCTGAGCCCCTGGCATGGCTCTTGCAGGAGCTGGGCCAAACCCCCTCCGCTGCCCTGGCGCCAGGCTGCTGGGATGGGTGCAGCTGTGGTAGCTGCTGCAAGGTGCTCTGCTGGCTGGAGGCCAACCCTGCCTTGATGAGAAAGTCCGGGGGCACCTGTGCCACGTGCACCCGCAG